CCCCGCCTCTGTCAGGGTCCCTCAAGCTCTGCCACTACCAACCTCCTCGGCACCCCCCGCGCAGACCGGCTGTGGGCGCAAATCGCAGACCGCAGCCCCTCTTTCGCCCCAGCCTAGGAGCTTCTAGCTCCTCAGGCCGAGGGACGCCAGCCCAGGTCTTCAGCCCCGCCCCTGAAAGCTGCCTCCGAATTTTGCCTGCTTTGTAGTTCTTCTCCACCCTCACTGCCGGTGTTTTTAGACTCCCACTCTTACCAACTTTGCTCGCTCGAACTGGTCAGAGGCTTGGCGGGCAAAGACGTTCAGAGGTGTGGGAGAGACGGTGGAAGTGCCGTAGGGCACTGCCTAGGGCACTTCCAAACCGTCGCTTGGACACTAGGACCCAGGAAGGACCCGGAGTCTGCGGTTGCCTAGATACGGCCGCTAGCAGCCCGCCCTCAACCCCCCCAACTCAGCCTCCGACTTCCCGAGAGTATTTCCGGTTCCGGAAGTGGGCTGGCGAAGACATGGCGGTGTCTGCGTCGGCGGCTGCAGGGGAGGAGGACTGGTAACTTTGGGGCATGGGCTTTGGCTGACTGCCCGAATCCGATCCGGGGAACTAGTGGCGGCCGCGGATGATCCGTAGGGTGGGCGGCGGGGGCTGAGAGCGGGATGAGAGGTGGCAGAGACGCTGACATCCCTCCCTAAGGGAGTTTCTTGAGACTGGGGAGCGAGTGGGTGGAGGGGAGTGATCTGAGGGTTAGGAGAGCCGATGTGCGGCAGCTAGATCAGTTCAGGCCGTACCTTATCTGGTTCGACCCCTGTCCTCTTCAGCCCTTCCCATTTTCTCCTTCTGAAGTGGATGTGCTCAGGGTCCGGGGGGATGCCTGTTCGTATCTCCCCACCTCCGTTTTACTTCCCGGAACCAATGTCCTCCAGGTCTTGTCCCCCTTTACCCTTGGATCAGCCTGTTTCCGCTGAGGCGTTCCACAACCTCCTCCTTCCCCGACAGTACTAACGAGGACTGTAGTCTGAATAAAGCGTTACACCTCACAGAAAGCCCTCCTAGTCCTTCATTTAAGCCGTCTTAGTGAAGAGATCAGACCCTGGAAGGATTCAAGGATTTGGAAGTAGTATAAATGTATATTAGTTGCACATTTTATTAGTTGTGTGATGCTAACCAGGCTACCTAGCTTTGGTGAGTCAGTGTCCTCAGCTGTAAAAATGTGGGTGTGGCATCTACTTCATAGACTAGTTGAGAGGATTGTGGTTCTGTAGCATGCATAAACCTTTTCATTAATTCATTAATAACGCTGAGTTTATAACCCTGAAGATACTAGGTTGGGCCTAGAGAGGTAAAATCATTTGTCCAAAGGTACCAGATTGTCTCACTACACAGCTTATGTTCTCATTGTTGTAAGAGTCTACAGTTCTTCCCTCCACACATCCTCCCCTTTTTTTGTTACCAGCTTACCGCCATCCCACCCCATCCCTCACATTCAGGGCCAAGTCACTACGAGGGTGAAGCCAGTGCCGAAGAACTTCTTGCTGTAGCCTACACTTCAGCGTTTCATTGGTTCAGGGAGTCCACCCAGTCATGGCCTTTATTGATGCTATAGATCTTTGGTTTTCAGCTTATTCAAAGAACAGTTAAGATTCTGAGGAGTCACCCAGAGCCATGGAGAGGATAACAGTGATCATAGCAGCTAGGCTATTGTGCTCTGAGACTCTCAGTCCCATGTCAACCAGAACTAATTCACTGTTACCTGCATTATATTTTGAGCACTTAAAAATATATTTTGAACTCTTTAAAGTGGCTGAAACTTAACACAGATAGATGGTTGCTCTAGGGGAATCCTGTTGTGAAGTGGAGGCAGGAAAGCCTACAAACCTACAAACATGCACTTTCCACATATTGCCTGGGTAGAGCTGTGGACTCATGCCAGTTTCTGTGACTCAACCTGTCTGACCTCTGATTTACATCAGGACCACTGAATCCTGACCTGAATAGGTTGATGTATATCAATCACACAACAAGGTTCATAAAAATGTCAAGTACTAACTATATCCCTCTTTCTTTTGAAAGGAGGTTGTATACATCCAGAAAAACTATATAGATTAGCTTCTATGGCCAAGATACTGCTGGATGTTTTACTTAATAAATCACCTTTAATTTTTATAATAACCCTAGAGAGAGGATGGTATTATCTACATATGATAAAGTAGTTCAGGTTTACCGAGATAATGACTGATCGTGTAGCTGCTAATACCTGTTACCAACTCCAAGGCTGATGACTTTCACTACAATACAGCCTTTATATCACCTAGACCTGTTCTGTTCAAGTTAGTATCTCCCTTTTTTTTTTTAATTATTTATGCATACAGAACTGGGGCTAGAGGTGTAGGGGCAGTGAGAATATTCACTAGAGACAGTGGGAAGCAGAACAGGCATGTTGAGGAGGTACACTGCTGAAGGGAGCAGCGGGTGAGGAGAGGTCTGCTGCACCATGTGGGTCAGCTCCCTGGCTGGGGATCAACTTGAGCTGAAGCAGCTGCGGCTAGCTTTGCTGTGCTTTAACCCATTGCACCACCAGGGAGGGTGTGTTGGTGTCTCTTTTGAGAAGGTTTAGGGTGACCAGTATCAGCAGTGTGTTTTGATAATAGCCAGGGCTCTGGGTTCCATGTATGTAGTAGTAAAGAGAAAGCTAGGAATATAGAGAAATCCTGGTATTAGTAATCTGAATGCTAATCACTTAGTATCATGGATCTAAATCGGAGATGGACACTAAGGAGCTACCCAAAGTGTGACAAAACTTAATAAACAATCAAGAGACCTACTTCTGATTCCAGTTCTGCCTCTTACACATTGAGAAAGCTTTAGCTACTCATTTCACCTTTGGGAATCTGTTTTCTCACCAGTTGGCTGAAATGATACCTAAAATTCTGATTTATGTTTCCTCTCTGATCACCTGATACCTCAAAGAAACATATATTTCCCTTATTTTTATGGAGGATACCCAGAGAATGCATGCAGTCTACTTGCCATTTTTCCACTAGGCCAGCCTTCATTGGCCTTGGACTTTATCAGGGAGCACGGTAATGGTAAGGCAATCTCCCCCGTCTCTGCAGGGTCCTTCCCTCAGAAGTCGAAGTCTTGGAGTCTATCTACCTGGATGAACTACAGGTGGTTAAAGGAAACAACAGGTATGTATTCAATTGGGTGGGCAGGAGGCCCCTTAAAAACAGGAGGACTCCATCTATAATCTGGTCTTGAGACACTGAGCCCCAATTCAGAAATGTTTCGCTCACATCGGATATTCCTTTCACACACATGAAAGAAAACAATGCTGATTTCCCCCGCCCACTTTACTCGTACCCCACTTCCCCAGCCCTCAGTCCCTGCCAGTCACATCCCAGGTCCCCACTTCATCCACCTGCAGATCTTCACCATGGGAGATCTACATCACTCTGCACCCTGCCACTGCAGAGGACCAGAATTCACAGTATGTCTGCTTCACGCTGGTGCTTCAGGTCCCCACACAGGTGAGCGCCCCACTCTGACAGCAGAGGGAGGAAGGAGAGTGGCCCTGGGGTAGAGTGCTGTAGCAGAAATTTGTTATTTTTCCCTCCCAAGTATCCCCACGAGGTGCCCCAGATCTCTATCCGTAACCCGCGAGGACTCTCGGATGAACAGATCCACAAGTAAGTTGGGTCCATCAAGGCAGGGAACACTTGGATACAGCTCAGTGTGGCGAGGGAAGACACTGGGTCTCACGTTTGGTTTGTCCTCTTCCTCCAGGATCTCACAGGCGCTGAGCTGTGTGGCCAATGACGGGCTGGGGACAGCCATGCTCTATGAACTCATTGAGGTGAGAGATGTGCTCACCAAGGGTAACCTCCTTCCCTTAAGCGAGTACAGTTTCTCCCAAGGAAAGCCACAGACCTGGGATCTTAAATATCTCTGGAATCACTTATTTCATTCTTATGTAGGCTAAGGCCAAGTGGACCCACAAAGGTGAGACTTTTCCAGTTGGAAAAATCTCCCCAAAATCTAGTTCTGTATCTTTCCTAAGTTGCCTATTCACGCATTTTGACGAAAACATTTCCTCTGTAACATGCTTTTTTTTTTTTTTTTTTTTAACTTGTACTGCAATTCTTGTTCTCTTGGCACTGGCAACTCAGAGTAGCAAGAGATACAAATGTTCCCTGGAGGGTCTTTGCATAGTGAACATATGAAGGCTAGTCTGCTATTGTGCTATAGGAGCCGCCGGGAAAATCCTGGTCTTGGTCCTTGTGCTCCAAGTTTCTGCCCCCATAGGAAACAGCCCACATGAAACAGCACCTAGAGATACAAGTTAATATACACAGATAACATTGGTTGGCTACGATTAGGAACAGCCTCAGTACAGTCCTGTTTTCCTCTGCTGTGAGTGCCTTAGAAACCATTCTAGAAAAGAATGAAGGTGGGTGGCCAGGAGTCAGAGAGGGCACAGACCGCGGCTGCACCCAAGCCAGGTGCTGCTGTGCAGCCTTGAGCTCTGTGGAATTCCAGGGAGTGAGCTAGTCAAACAGCACCACAAATGCAAATTTCAAAGCTTGGTTTCCTGCCTTGGCTTTTTGAGAGTTGACTCCACAACAGACTCTGAAGGAGTGATGCTCAAAGGGGGTTCATCAAGAAAGGCCTCCCAGTAGATGTGAGTTTTAACTGAACATTTGTTTTTCTCTAAGATGTATTATTTTCAACCCCCACCCCCAAGATATATAAAAGGCAACGTAATGGGTGGCCAAACGATCGGACTGGATTTTAAAATCAAGCAGATTTGGGGGGAGAGTGGGGACACGGAAGAGGGTCGGTTCCAAGCAGAGGGAGCATCCCCGAGAAAGAAATGCATGAACACGAGGTTATCATACTGACTTGGTGAGCGAAGGCGTCCAGCCACGCACTCCGGGAATGGTGGGCAGGCTGTGCGTACAGTCAGGCCCCTGCCTCCTTGTTTGAACAGCACCTTCTTTCCTCTCAGAAAGGGAAGGAAATTCTCACAGATAACAACATCCCCCATGGGCAGTGTGTCATCTGCCTCTACGGTTTCCAGGTGGGTTTCTCCCTTGGAACGTGGGTCTACTTGGGCTGGGCAGTGGGGGGATGAGAGGGGGCTGACCCAGCGCTCCACATCTGTGCTCCCTCCAGGAGAAGGAGGCCTTTACCAAAACAGCCTGTTACCACTACTTCCACTGCCACTGCCTTGCTCGGTACATCCAGCACATGGAACAGGAGCTGAAGGCACAAGGACAGGAACAGGAGCGACAGCACGCTGCCCCCAAACAGGTCCACCCGCCAGGCCCTGCTCTCACTTGACAGCGCTGATGCTCACCTCTTCTGCCCCTGCTCCCTGTTCACATTTGTAGGGTCAGATAACTTTGAGAGTAGTGGAAACTCCCCTCTGTCCACACACAAGGACATCCTTACAGGTTTAGTCAAGGATGCAGGTTCAGAGGGTTCCCCAAGCTCTAACTAGGCATCCCCTACCCTATCGCACCTCGTTGCTGAACAGGTATGCTGTATACCCTTAGGTCCAGCCTCTGATTAGGCTGGCCAGTGGGGGTGGGCAGCTGGCAAGCACCTTGGCCGTGAAGCAGGCGTGCAATTTCTCTCTTTGTAGAAGGCAGTTGGTGTGCAGTGTCCAGTGTGCAGAGAGCCCCTCGTGTATGACCTTGCATCACTGAAAGCAGCCCCTGAACCTCAGCAGCCCATGGTAAGGGAATTCCTTTCTAATATGAGCCAAGGAGGATGGCATTTCCGGAGGGAGGGATGGCATCTTGTCTATCTCGAATGGGATCTCTGGAACAGGACCTCTCTGCAAAGCCCCACCTTCTACCTGGAACCTAAGGTGGTTCTGGAGCCCAAATCCAACAGACATAACCAAGAACCTTGTGCATTCCTGCGAGAAGCAGTTTCGGTTTGCCTTGTCCTGTTTATACTTCCCCCCTGCTATTCTGCTTCTCCCTGCAGGAGCTGTACCAGCCTAATGCAGAGAGTTTGCGCCAGCAGGAAGAGCGCAAGCGGCTCTACCAGAGGCAGCAGGAGAGGGGGGGCATCATTGACCTTGAGGCTGAGCGTAACCGGTACTTCATCAGTCTCCAGCAGGTGAGGAAAGGCTTTTCCACTCCTCCCCTGATTTCAGCCTTCCTTCCGGCCTTCCACTCTGCCACGGCCCTAGGGTTAAGCTTTGTTCTACCCAGGGAGGTTGCAGGCTGACAGTGGCCAGCTTAGATAATGGACAAGCACAACCTGTGGCTCCCTGCTCCCAGGAACAGCATCTCCTGCACTCTGTCACTCACTTCTTTCTAGCCTCCTGCCCCTTTGGAAGCTGAGTCAGCTGTCGATGGCTCCAGAGGATCCCACCCACCTAGTGTTCTTGCCACAGAACCACCGTCCGCCTCATCCGCTGCCCAACCCCTGCCAGCACCCCTGCCTGCAGTCTCCCCGTACACGTGTGAGAAGATTCCAGGAACTGGGCCAAATCAGCAAAGGTTGGGCGATACCCAGAAAACTATGCTAGATCCTCCCCGGGCCAGCCGAGGCCCCTGGAGACCACCGGAACGGAGGCACCTAAAGGGAGGGGAGTGCAATGCCCCCAAAGGTACCAGTGACACACAGGAACTGCCACCTCCTGAGGGGCCCTTCAAGGAGCCCATGGACCTAAAGCCAGAACCCCAAAACCAAGGGGTTGAAGGCCCTCCCCAAGAGAAGGGGCCTGGCAACTGGCAGGGTCTCCCACCCCGCAGGACTCGGGACTGTGCCCGCTGGGAGCGCTCCAAGGGTCGGACACCAGCTTCCTCCTACCCCCGCCTGCCTCGGGGCCGGGGAGCCCACCGACCTGGCACTCGGAGGGATCCCCTAAATCTGGAATCTGAGGATGGTTCCTAGCGGTACTATGGGGGGACAGGGAGTTTGGGGTGGGAGGGAGACAATAAAGAGATTTCGCCTTGTTTGGCTTTGTTTGTGCAGCAGCTCCTGATTCTTCCTGAATTCCTAACAAGGCTGGGATGTGCCATACCAGCCCCTACTCTGTGCACTCTGTCCTGAAGATATTAGGGAACAGTGAGGAGTCTGACATGTCAGGAAGTGAAAGGGGTTCCAGGGAAACCAATGGATGTCAGCATTTAAGCAGAACACAGAAGAAGCACCTCCCACATAGCCCGACATGGTATACCCACCTTCCATATACAGCGAGTTATAGCATTGACAGGTCTGCACAACGTGACTCTCAGCAGGACATAACGAAATATATTTGAGCATAGGCTAACTGACATAAAATGAGCTAAGTTTCTTCAGTCTATTTCTGATCACAGAAACACCAATTTCTAAATAAAGACCCCACAGTCTTCTAACATTAAGCAACCGTTTGTATTCACTTACCACTCATTTATTCCAGTTCAGGGTTGCAGGTGACCAGAACCTATCCCGGCAGCTCAGAGCACAAGGTAGGAGCCTGCCAGCAGGACACCCTTCCACCTCAGGGCACGCAGTTCTCACTTCCGCTGGGCAGTTGAGACACACCGGTGAATCTTGCAGACACGGAAAAAACGGGTCCTCAGAGAAAATGCATGCAGCCTTGGGAGAAAGTGCACACTCCATACAGCCAGAGCCCCAGGATGGGAACTGGCTCTGTCAACATTACAAGGAAAGGCTATCCGAGCTCCCGCTGCACATGTTTTCCTTTGGATGCCTTTAGGTGAACTGCACTTGGCTGTTTTATTAGTGTCTCTTCCCTCTGTCATCAGCTGTGACCCCAGCACTTGTTTATGTGGGTGCCTATAAGGCACCTGTGATCCCAGCCCCTGCAGTTTAGTCAATACAGAAAGGGAGGGCAGAGGCCAGATTAAGTATGGCAAGTGTTTATTGACTGATAGGTGTTTGTTGAGCACAGCTCGACTGTCACCTCCTTAGAGACTCAATATTTTGAATTGCCCCCTTGGGGTCATTTTTATACAACATAAAGTAACCCTGCACCTGGGCAGGACTGATTTGAACTGTAGTTTGAAGGACACGATCTGCAAAGGTCTCAGCCAAGGAAAGTGCTTGTTCTGGATAGAATCTCTGGAACATCTGGGTGAGCTGCCAGTGTGAGCAGTAACCCACATACTCCTTCAGGTCTACTCGTCCAGGGCGTATCAGGGCAGGGTCCAACCTAAGAGAAGGCAGAAAAGTGGGGTCAGGCAACAGGACCAGAAGCAGACCCTTCTGAACCCTCTGCTGAGGGGCTGGGGCCTGGTCTCAGTTTCAGAATACCCCACATCTCACCTGTCCACATAGTTGGTGGTCATGAACACAATGCGTGCCTCGGTGGAAGCCACGCCATCCAGGGCGTTGAGCAGTCCACTAAAGGTAAGGCGACCTAGCCCTTGGTATTTCACTGGGTCTGCAGGAAAGCAGGGATAAAGAAACATGGTCAATGTCCCCTCCACCCCACCGTGTCTACCTGACACCTGTAGGTTCTGGCTGCTATGCTGGCAGCTTCCATCAGCTCCCACCTTTGCGACTATGCATTAGAAAACTCCCCTTGACTGCCCCCACTTACTCTCCACGGCCAAGTCCCGACTGAGAAAAGCAGCATCCACGTCCTCCAGGAGTACCAGGCTCTGCTGAGGGGCCACACTCAGCAGGTGGTTGAGCCGGTCATCGGAGAGGCTGGAGTCTGTGAGACTCAGCAGGCAGATGCTGTGCTCCAGTTCTCCAGCCAGAGCTGTGCTGTGGAGGGCGGGATGGCACGTGGCGGTCAGTGAGCTGGGAGTTCTGTCTCTGGGCCCAACTGCTCTTTTCTCACTACTACAACGTGTGTCTCAGAGACCTGATCCTCCTACCACCCTGCCCTGACATTCCACGTCACATGTATTCTGATCACAGATGTCCACATTTTTTCCCTTTCCAACCCCATCAGCCTAGTTTTTCTCCAGTTTGCAAGTTAGAAAGAACTTTGACTCTACTCACATAAAACTGCTCTTTCCACAGCCAGGAGGCCCGTAAAGCAGGTAGCCACGTCTGTAGGGGATACCTATGAATGCAGCCAGGATGAGCATCAAGATCTAAAATGAATCATATGCTCTGCACCAGGGTCAGCCACAAATACTCCCAGCCCTGCTCCCTGGGGGCCTGATGACCTCAGTATTGGAAGAGCTCACCCCCACAGGCAACTCTTTTTCTTCATCTCTGGAAACTGAGCTGTATAGAGGGCTTTATATTCACCCCACCTGGCCAGAAAATAGGCTGTTTCCTCCTGCTCTAACATCATATTAAAAAGAACTTTGTCAAGATCCCAGCTCCTCACCTCTGTCAGTGTACCACTTGGGGTTATCGATAAATTCCCGGATGTCTCTGATAATTCGCTCAGCCAGACCCTGTTCCAGAACCACAGAATTCAGTGGCCGGCGGCGGCGTGGATAACCAAAGGAGCGCCATTCTGAACCCACAGCTGTGTACATCACTGTCTTCCCCTCCTCCTGCTGCAAGGCTAGCGCTCGAGCTGGGAGGAGGGAAGAAGAGAGTAAACCAATAATTCCGCTCTGTGCCATGCAAGTAGGCAGGGCTGTGCCCAAATAGCTTTCTTTTGGCCGCCTGCTCCCACGAGCTCAGATCCTCTATTGCTCCTCTCCTAGATTCCCTTCCTCTGATGTCAGAGGTTCTCATCCCTGCAATCCCCATCCACTGCCTGCACCATCCCACACCTTCCTCCAGGATGTTGAAGAAAACCGTGCGGTCAGTGCCCAGGGCTGTGAGGGTGACAGATTCCCAAGGCGTCCCTGTCTGCAGGTCTATCATCTGCATTTCTCGGCTTCGTTCCACTCGGATCCATTTTCCCTGATACCTAAGGATTAAAAGGAATAAGTGAATGACGTGAAACCCAGTTACCCTCATTCTCCTCTTCTACTCTCAGGAATTCCCAAACTTACCAGACAAAGTGGTTTCCAAGGCTGGGGATAAATTCAAACTTAGTGGAGATGCGGCCACTATCATGTTGAAGGTATGAAGTTTCCACGCTGAGGTGCTGAGTACGGCTACTATGGCGGGTGAGCCAGCTAAGCAACCAGGCGTAGCTCCTGTCTCGAGCAGGGACTTCCAGTGTAATCATGTAATGCCGTCGGAAAGCCAACAGGCCCAGCTGGGCACCCTTCCGGGCCATGGCGAGGGCTGTGCCCACACCCACCAGCCCAAATCCAGCCCCAAAGTAAGGATTGTCCTTCAGAGCCAGAACGAAGTCTGAGAGGGGCATCTTGAATGTTATGTGATGACCCTTACAGGTCCTGCAGCTTTTTCAAAACCTGGGAATGGGGAGCAGTGGAGATGGGACAGAACACAAGGTTAGTTTAGAAATTGGAATCAGCAATCCCTCCGGCCTACAGAAGCTGGGAGCAGGAAGGTCAGTGCTACTGTGTGCTTCAATATCCTTACTTTGCCGGGTAGGGATGATGCTGGAATGAGAGGGCTGAGTCTCCAGGTCCCTAGTCCCATTTTGCCCTTCATGATCCTGTTCATACCTCAGTTTCCCACCAGAGGAACATGTCTGGAAAATCCTTAAACCTGAGAGAACAATGGAAAGCCAGTTTCCATCAGAATAAGGGACGGACACATTATCTGTGGTTCCTGGGCCCAACTGAGACAGATGGGGCACCCACTGGCTGGTGAAGAAGCTATTCTCTTTCATTCACCTGTCAGTAACCTCATGCCTTGGCTCCAAGAGTAAAGGCCTTCAAATACCATCTACAAATTCTCACGTCCTAATGTCATTTATCCCTCTATTACCTCGCAACTAAATTGTAGTTACTGAAATGACATTTTAATGGTTCTGCTTCAACAAATTGTTACAACTGAGTCCATATCTTTCTTCCTAAATATCTGCTTCAATCCTGTTATTTTTCACCTCCAAAAGCTGGCTCTCACCAGCTTCCTGAATTAGGTAAAAAAAAAAAAAATCTGCCAGCTATTCAAGGCCCACCATAGCAAGGCACCCGTCAACTTTTCAAGACTTAGCATCTAATACCGCTGTTGAATAAATACGCCAACAATTTCCCAGCTCCATGCTCAAGCAGTTCGCCGGGCTCGGAATGCCCATTCTTATTTCCTCCATTGTCCTGCCCATCTGCTCCTTCAGGGAGATTTTCTTGATCCCTGCCCCACTACTCCCAATAAGATGTGACCCGATTAATCCTAGGCTGTAAGATCCCAAGGAGCCAAACCATCTCTAGCACGCTTCTCCCGCCACTTGCTCTGCACCAGGCACGCTGGGTGCTGAGCTGACATCGGTGACCTCAGCTGAGGCTCAGAGCAAGTTCCAGAATTCAGAAATATCTATGCATGGAAGGCCACAGACAAAGCCCTTCCCGCTCCCGATCCTTGCCAAGCGCCAGAAGCCGCCTCCCGAACACCCGCCCCCCACCCCCGGCTCGCGTCTGCAGCAACGTGGTTCGGAGTAAGGCTTCCCTCCGCCCCCTTACCGCCATGACTCTCTGGCCCTCCCTCTCCATGGTTTCACCCCTTTGCTCTTGAGGGAAGAGCCGCTCGACCCCGCCCCCCAGATCGTTCATCTACTTCCCACCACACCCACCGTGGAGACTACCCATGCCACTCTGCCCCACAGCTCTCGGTGGTACTCCCAGGGCTTCACGGCCGGCCATGGGAAGCCGTCACTAGACGCTCCGGAAAACCATAGAGTACTCCGCCAGCCCACTCGCGGAGGAGAGAGTGGCCTCCACAAGCCCCGTGTCCTAGAGGCGCCTGGGCTGGAGGCGGTCGCACAAAGGGAGTCCCGGGAGGCCTCGCCCGCGGCTGGCCGACCATAGAGATGCGGCTCCTGCCGGCCTGGAGCCGGGAGGTGAGTGAGCGGCTGCGGGGCGGGAACTAGGAAGGAGTACCGATGGAGCCAGCCAAAGGCAAAAGTTTCTTGAGCCCCAAGATGTGGGGGGGCCGTGCGCGGTGGGAGTCCTCGGGAGGAGGTGCTCCAGGGAGCACGCCGACGAGCGGGGCTCGGGCGCCGCACCTCTGACACCCCGGCGCCGCAGCCGCGTCATTGCTCTGGATCCCGCCCGGGTACCGGTTGCCTCTTCTCAGGATCATAATCATGACGATGCTCTGTCCCAAGCCTTGCAGATTACAAAACGGTTTCCCCAGTGGCCGGCTTTGACGACTCCCGCTCCCGCACAAAGATGTGAACGCTGTCATCACCTCCACTTTACAGAGAGGAAAGCTGAGGCCCAGAGAAGCGAGGGGACTGTCTGTCCAAGGCCACGCGTTGACTCGGAGCTCACAGGCAGGTGTGACTCCAGATGCCTTGCTCCCCAAGCCCTCGCCCTAATTTAATTCGTGCTTTGTCTTCCTCGGTGCCCTGGCCCTAAAGAGAAGCTCGGTTCTTCTCATGCCCTCCTGTCCTCCTAGCTCACCACGCCTTCCATTGGCTGAATACTCAGTCTAAACGACTCCGCGTCCTCCTTGGCTCCCCGCCAAGGTCATGTAGACTGAGCTGGAAGATTTCCCCAGAAAGGGGTAATATTCAGTACGTAGAGGCTGCAGTTTCCAGAAGAAACTCTGACCCCGGAAGTGGACTTCCCTGCCACCGTCCGAATCCTTATGATCAGAGGTTTTGTGTCTCTGTATTCTCACCTGCAGCCTTGTTTCGTAACCCTAGGCCCTTATTCGACCTCTAGGACCTAGTAGTTTCCTAGCTTAAACTAATTTTAGTCCTATATAGCAGGATATGCAATTAGGTGGCATTCATTTCTTAGTTGTTTTTAAATTTTAATATGAGGCCATCATCAATGAGTTTGAAATTTTTTCCAATGTATATAAACAAAGACTGGTTTGGTAACTTGGTAGAGACCTATCTTTGCTCTGATGCATCTCCTTGTCTACAGTTCTTCCCTAGACCTCTCACTTGTCTGACTGGCATTGATTGTTGATGGTTTGTTTTCAATGAAGTGTTCATGTCAATAAACTCCCCTTTAAAAGCCCTGAGTCTCGGGAGGGAGACTAATAGGTAAACCAATGCAGTATGACAGTTTTTGATAGAGCTATATACAAGGTCGCATTAGGATCCCAGAAGGAAAAAGTAATTTCCTTGACAAGCATCAGGAGGCTCTCATCTGTTCATACAGATGCATAAAGGATAGTTAGGAGTTGATTAGTCAGATAAAAGAGATGGAAAAGGGGAAATGCCCCTGGAGGTGGGGAGTGGGGTCCCCACTCCTGAGCAGGCATGTGGAAAGGTGTGAAAGCAAAAGGCATTATGGTCAATCAGGGGCAAAATATTGTTAGGACCGGTTCAGTGATCTGTTGAGGGGAAAAGCCAGCAGAGGCCAAGTTATGAAGAAAGTACATTAAACTCATGTTAAGGAGTAATACCATGAAATACTAAGAGGAACAGGACCTATGAGATTCTCTTGGCCCCACCCAATTTTGTTGCAGATAAGAATATTGAGCCCCAGATTGCTTAATGATTTGACCAAGGTACAGAGAGTTCCAAAAAACATAAACTACAGTCTTTAATATATTAGTCAAAACATGCTAGCTTCTCTCCTAGTTTCCCCTACTATCATTTTTGTGCTGTTTGTTTTAAACATTGTCATAAAAAGAAATCCTTTATTGAGATAAGTAAGTATGATGTGCTGCTGTGCAAGCAAATACCTAAGTGGGCAGCATTGGTAATGTACCCATACCAGCTGGGAAGAAAGAGCGATCTGATTATTTTGTTTGACTTCTCTTCTGATTGCTTTATCAGCTTATAAGAGGCCACAATTTACAAGTCGGTTGTAATGACAGACCCTGTATTGGACACACAGCCAGTTGGCAGTACTGGGGAGATGGATGGACTCTGCCCTGAGCTATTGCTGATCCCCCCGCCTCTCTCTAATCGTGGAATCCTGGAGCCCACACAGAGCTCCTGTTCTGCAAACCCTACACCTTTGACAGCTGACCCAGGCTGCCTGCTTGTAGAGGCCACAGCAACTGAAGAGGACACAGGAAACATGGAGATCATTGTGGAAGCAGTAGCTGGAAACCTGTCCCCAGGTGCTCCTGGAGAGACCCCAGGTAGAAACACAATTGTTAAGCAGGCCATTGAAATGAGCAGCCTTGAGGTTTTGTCTGTGCTATTTTTAATCCTTCTTTATAGATATAATGAGAACCCAAGGTAGCATTCTATTTTTATATGTAGAGATGTTGTAATTTGCTTTGCAGTTGGTGGAGGCTGATTGAAGGCTGGCGAGGTGTACACAGCCTTGTAACAGGCCCTGCCAAGAGCCTGTTCCTGCAAGAGCTTCGCATTAGCTAGGCGGTAATCCAGAAGGGGAGACCTTTCTGACACTTCCGCCTGTTCTGATGTTTCCTTACTCCTGTAGTCCTTTGGGATTATGTCCCCATATTGACCTTCCCACCCAGCCTCTTTCTGCCACCCAGCGTTTATCAGGGCTCTCCAGCAGTAATCTGGTATTTCCCTGCCCCAGTTTCTCGTGTATAACATACTTAACTAGTTGAAGGCATTCTGTTAGGAGCAGGAGTTGAGCATTTGTATTTATGCCAAAAAACTTCCGCCTTGATTCTTCCAATGTGTACAGGCTTATTTTAGGTACTTTCCCCTGTTTTAGTTGATATCCTCCGGCTACAGTGGTTACCACTTCCCTAGACAGTGTGGTGTAGCTTGACAAAGGGCACTGGAGAAGATTAGCTACTTTACCATGTGTTATTTCTAAGCTTCTTTATGATAGAAAAAATAAAAAGCAAAGAGTTTATGCAGTATATAAGAGCTAGTATTTTTAAAATTCGAAGACACAGTGAAAGAAACAGTATTTTAAAAAGAGGAAAGAAGTCTAGATCCAATTCACTAAAGAATGAAAATAGCCACCAACCATAAGGATTTTCATGTTCACAGATAAATTGCAGTTAAAAATAACTGAGATGCCATTTCCGTTTCTCACCTTAAAAAAATGTTAAACATTTTAAAAAATAATTTGTGTTGTTAAGGCTGTGGGGAAACATAACTGATGAAGAATATCACTTAGCATACTTTTCTGAAGGTCAGCTTTTTTTTTTTTTTTTTAATTCATACAGAACTGGGGTACAAGCCAGAGATGCAGAGGGTGAGAGGATTCACCAGAGACAGAGTGGGAAGCAGAAAAGGCAGATCCACAAAGTACACTGCTGAGGGGAGCAGCGGGCGGGTCAGGAGAGGTCTGCCGCACCATGTGGTCACCTCAGGCAGGCAGGGAGGGATCGAACTCATGTGGAAGTGGCTTAAGCTTCTTAGTGCTACGCCACCGGGGAGGGCCCAGGTCAGCTTATTTAAATAGCTTTTTTTTTTTAGCATGTTTTAAATATGCAGACTCTGACCCAGTAATTCCACTTCCAAAGATCAGCCTTATAGAAAGGCACACACATACAACAAAGGATACAGAGATAAGAGTGTGTAAGGTCGCTGTATTTTGTAACAGTTGGAAGCAACCCATATAGCCACCACTAAAGGCAAAAGATTAATTTTGATTTCTCCATACTCTAAAGTGTCATGAGCTGGATAGGAAAAAAAAGGTGACAGAGTTAATTATATTCCTAAATAAAAATATCTTTATATATATCAAGTAAAAAAAAAAAAAGACAAACTGGAAAAATGACCCCCAATATCTAAGAAGATGTATCAAACTGTGTATGTGGTTATTCTGTTATGTATTTTTGCATCATTAGACTTGTTGCACTGAACTTTTGTTTATACAAAAAAATAATAAAAGGACCACCAGAATAAATGTAGGGCACACCTAGGGTTGAATCGTAGTTCCCCCATTATCAAGCCTGATAATCTAAACCCTCAAGATCCCTGGTCCCTTTTCTCTTTGGGCAGTTGGAAAACCACGCAAGAGTCTTTCCTGAGCCCTTTTTCCTAAGGTCCTGCCCATTGCTTACGAGATGACAATGATTCTTATGAAAGTGACTTGACTCTTTTCAAAAGAGTCACATTTTCTCCATTTTATGAATCACCGTCTCTAAAAATATCTTTGAAGAATATGAAAGCAATACTTTGTCATTTACATCGGAGATATTACCCACAAATTGTCATTTTCTGCTTTTGGAAGTTCTTAATTTTCTGTTTGAGCCAAATATTGTACCTTTTCTTTGTGCTTTCTGGATTCGGCCAATGCTTGTTATATTCATTTCGCAAATTTTGTGAAGCACCTGTTTTACGCCAAGTACTGTGAAGCTACTAGGAATCCAAATTCATGTGTAGGATAAACTGTCCCTGACCATATGGGGCTTACAGTCCAGGTGTAGAACCAGCTTAAAGGCCCTCTCCTTTCCACAAATATTAAAAGGTTTACCTACATTTTCTACTAGTAACTAACTCCTTTGAGTCTCATTCCATCTGATTCTATGCCTTTCTCTGTCGGTCCTCTGCCTGCAGGTGTCCTGGTAAAGGTGGTGGAGGTGTACTTCTGTGAGCACTGTGAGCAGAGCTTCGCAGAGCCCACTCTGCTGGCCCTGCACCAGTGCCCTGAGACCCTTATACAACCTGCGCAGGACCTCTCTAACCCCCCATGCTCTGTCGAGCTGCCCCCCAGCAGCCTTACTCTACCTAGCCCTCCACCGGGCCAGAGCCCACCAGATAGCCCCCTGTCATGCCCTGTGTGTAGACAGGAGTTTGCCCAACCCCAGGCCCTGAAGAGCCACTTCAAGATTCACCGGGGCACTCCTGACACCTTCTCCTGCCCAGAGGCTGGCTGTGTGTTCTCCACTGAAGATCGAAAGGGCCTGCAGCACCACCTGAGGCAGACCCACAGAATGGTTCCTGTGCCCTGTTCTTTCCGGGGCTGCCCTCTGCTCTTTGGGAGCCAGCAGGGCATGGAACTGCACCGGCAGGCCCATTACCCTTTCCACTGCAGACATTGCAGCTTCATGGGCTCCAACGTCAAACTCTTCCGGCAGCATCAGAGGAGCCATGGGGCCAGGACCCAAGGAGAACTGTCTGCCATTCAGGGTCTTCCATCCCAGGAGCTGCTGCCAGGTATGAGACCGAGCGCCTAGCTATACCCTGCCTGGACTGCAGCCGTAGTCTGTGTGAGAAGAGAGGCGCTTGTTTCCAGTGCATGAGGGCAGGGGCATCCAGAGCAGTGGCTCAGGAGGGCAGAATAACTAGATACATGGGAACGGTAGCTGGAAAGCTGAATGTAGAGGACAAAGAAGCCATGGTCCGTAACAGTAAGATTGGGCTTATTGTGACCTTAAAGTTCCTTAACCAATATTTCTTCTGATCCATTTCAAACCTCGTAAAGGCAAGCGCTGGAATACTCGTTAGTGACTGGTAGAATGCCTATGGGCGCTGGAAAAGCAAGCAAGGAAGCACTTCAAGGAAGTGGTGCTTCACTGAGCCTTCCTCTTAGTCTCAAGAAAAGTGCAGAGGGTGAAGAGAGGAGCAAGAGGATCTCAATAATCTGAGTTCTGAGAGGCCCGAGTTCTGTTGAGAGATTCTCTCGGAGTCCTTGCTAGAACTCAGTAGTGCTCCAGTGCCCAAAGATAAGACGCTTCTTGCCTGGGAAATAGTCATGTGTTTTACTGAGACAGCTGCGTCTCTTCAGAGATACAAGGAGTGAATTTAAGGGGACAAGGTGTGATCTTGAATTGCTACGTAGGGTTTCTCAGTAGAACGTTATAGAAGCCAGCATGTTCACCTTAACTGAGCCACCAGCCATGAGTGTCAGGGCCCTGAGCTAGGGAAGTTCCATCCGCACATTCTGATTCTGTACCTCTCAGCCCCTAGCCCCCTCTAGTGACCTCAAAGCTCTTACCTTCAAAGGCTCTGAAGATCATGTCATCTGAGGTATGATTTACTTTAACGGGCAGCATTACTGACAGCTGAGCGCCTGGTCTTCCTCTCCCTGAATTCAGTGAGAATAAATTTATATACCTAGGCCCCAAGATTCCTTTATGAAAGTGGAGGGTTTTCTTCGAGCCAGTAAGGGAGATAGAAGCATTCGTCGTCATTACTGACTCCTGTAGAGTTCACCAAGTTTTATGTCTCCAGCTCCTAAACTACCCCCTGGAGAGGGAGAGACTTTGGAAGAAACTTGCATGCCCTTGCCTGGGCGTGAGTCAGCTGAAGAGGGGGATGTAGAGGAGGAAGAGGAGAGCAGCACCCAGAAGGATTCCCAGAAAGCTCTGGAGAAAGGCCAGGGGACACAGCAGTTAGAAGGTAATAACATGCTTGTACTTGAGCCTCCCGGGAGTGGGGGGATGGATAATGAGAGCCTGGCATTCCGGTGCTGGGGTTTCATTTTCTGAACTTTGTTAGAGTCTTCTGACATTCTAGTGGGAACATGATAAAAGGATAAAGACTGTAGTAACACAGAGTAAGAGTAAATAAACGTGTTCTCCTAGCCTGGTTTTTCTGAAGCAGAAAGCTCTTCTGTAGGGAATGAGACGGTGATATCCATAGTATGAAGCTGCCAGAGGTTACTGGTAACCAGCAGCCTGGCATTGACTGGCAGTGAGCCCTGAGGTTTCCTTCCCCTGGACCCTTGCTTCCCACTTTTCCAACTCAGTAGAGCGCCATTGGAAACCCGCCACACATGGAACACATTTATCATCAGGTGACTAGAAAAGAATAGAAGCATGTACTTCTAGATCTTTGTGTTCTAGAATTTAGTCTGCTTTCCAATGTGTACAAGTAGGAGTACTTCTCTTCCTTTCTGCTTACTTCCTGTGGGCAGTTTTTCCTTCCAAACAACTCCCTGATCGTTCTGCCTGCCCTAGGGACAAGTACCCGAATGTTCCATCCAGATTATTCTTTGAGCAGCTCTAGACAAAGGCTCAGGAATAGAGAGGAACTAGGTAAAACATTTTGAACAGGCCACAGCAAGTTCTGAGAAGTCCTTGTAATGGTTCTCGACCTGAATTTCTCCTATTTGAGTCCGCACTGAGGTGCCAGTGTTTTGTTCCCTGGAAGTAAAGGAGAAAAGCCACACAGTACTGTGTCTGGGCAAATTCTCCCATCGTCGGAGCAGCCCTTGGCCTAGCAACGAATCTCTTCCGGCCCTCTCTGTCTTTCCCTTTCCTAGATGTGGCCCCTGGCACCGAGTCCCTCTTCAAGACCCACATGTGTCCAGAATGCAAGCGCTGCTTTAAGAAGCGGACCCACCTGGTGGAGCACCTACACCTCCACTTCCCAGACCCCAGCCTGCAGTGCCCCAACTGCCAGAAGTTCTTCACCAGTAAGAGTAAGCTCAAGACCCATCTGCTGCGGGAGCTGGGCCAGAAGGCGCATCGCTGCCCGCTGTGCCACTACAGCGCCGTGGAGAGGAACGCGCTCAACCGCCACATGGCCAGCATGCACGAGGACATTTCCAACTTCTACTCAGACACCTATGCCTGTCCTGTCTGCCGTGAGGAGTTCCGCCTCAGCCAGGCCCTTAAGGAGCACCTCAAGAGCCACGCAGCAGCCGCTGCCGCAGAGCCACTGCCCCTCGGCTGCTTCCAGGAAGGCTGCAGCTACGCCGCGCCCGACCGCAAGGCCTTTGTGAAGCACCTGAAGGAGACCCACGGGGTGCGCGCCGTGGAGTGCCGCCATCACTCGTGCCCCATGCTCTTCGCCACCGCTGAGGCCATGGAGGCCCACCACAAGAGCCACTATGCCTTCCACTGCCCCCACTGCGACTTCGCCTGCTCCAACAAGCACCTGTTCCGCAAACACAAGAAGCAGGGCCACCCTGGCAGTGAAGAGCTGCGCTGCACCTTCTGCCCCTTCGCTACCTTCAATCCAGTGGCTTACCAGGATCACGTGGGCAAGATGCACGCCCACGAGAAGATCCACCAATGTCCTGAGTGCAGCTTTGCCACCGCCCACAAGAGGGTGCTCATCCGCCACATGCTGCTGCATACTGGTGAGCAGACCTCCGGCCCTAGGTTCAAACCCTCATGATGATGATGAGGGCTAAGATGAGTTTGTACTGTGTACCAGACACGTGAAGGGCTTGGAGACATTGTCTCATTTAACCTTGTATTCCTAGAGCTGAACCTAGTATTTGGGGTTTCAGATGAGCCTTAAGTTGTGTGCTACTCAGCTAGAAACTCAAGATCTGAATCCAGTCTGATCCAAAACCCGTGTTCCCACCCACTATGCTGTTATGCCTCACCCTTAAGGCCAGCCCAACCCTGGGTGGTCAGCACCCAGACTGCTAAACAAAGTAACCCAAACCCAGACAGATTCCTTGGCAGTCCGAGTTTTGGCATGTGCTGTGAGACGGGTCAAGAGCATTGAGCCATCATACATGTATGGCCTACCATGTGGCTTGGGTGTCCATGACACTGAAACCTGATGACTTCCTGTGACCTGGAATTTGTAAATATTTATCTTTTTCTTTTTTAAAGATTGATTTTATTTATGCATACAAGAACTGGGGTACAGACCAGAATACACTGATGAGGGTAGTGTGGGGTTGGGGTCAGGAGAAGTCTGCTACGCCATGTGGGTCAGCTCCCTGGCTGGGGATCAGACTTGTGCTACAGTGGCTGTGGAGAGCTTCGTAGTGCTGCACTTTAACCCATTGCACCACCAGGGAGGGTCCTAAAGTTATAAATATTTCAACTCAGACTTCATTGTTCACTAGCATTACTGATGCCTTGAGTGATGACCAAGTCCGTCTTCCGGCTACCGCATCATCCAGTCTCAGTTCTTTGTCAGCACCGGTGATTGACAAGACATTAAAAATTCTCATCAAAACTCTGGTTGGGAGGACAGATTTTAGGCAACTTGGGACAAAACCGTTGTTCCCATTGAAAAGCTCAATTTAAATATGCTTTAGTCAGAAATCTCACTTTTCTAGGACCTTTCCTAAGGACTTATGTTGATATAGGACTTTATGGTTTACAGAGTTCTTTCATATAGAAAAGGCAGGCAAAGATGAGAAACTGAAAAGTTAAATGCCTTCTTTCAGAATCAGACAGCTGGTATCAGAACTAGAACACCAGTGTGCTTGGCTTTTACCACGGGGAAGGATTGAGTAGGTGGGCAGGGAAGGGAGGGCCCACCGTCTAGTGCCTGGGCTTGATCAGCTATATGGACAGCTTATCCTTAAGTTCTTACTGGGTAGTGATGAGGACACTGGGGTGTCTGATTTAATCTTCTTACTAACCTTGTGAGGTCAGTATTTTTGTTAGTCTGGTTTTGTAAACAAGGGAGCATTTAGAGGGATTAAATGACTTGCCAAAGTGCACACAGTCGTAAGCAGGAATTGGAACCACCACTTAATAGCGCTGTGATTTCTCTGTTTTCTCTTCTGTAAGTGGGGTACAGTCATGGCCCCTGCTTCATAGGGCTATTGCGAGGATTTAGTGAGGAGGCATTTTTTTTTTTATTTCAAAGTTTATTTTTACATCATTTTGCACATTTTTTTTTCCATCTCGATTGTAATCCCCGCGGGTTTCCCATCACCAAATCACCCCTGTGCCACC